TGGACCGGTCTGCGGGTACACTAGCCCAGTCTGCACTAGCTCCATCGCAATGGCAAAGACCGAGATGGCCCGCCTGCCAATGAGCGCCAACGCAAGCAAGCTAGGGCCCACTCTACCAGGTCGAGCCATGGAAGACAAACTCAAAAAAGATCGAGTGTATGGCAGATTTCCAAAACAACCCAGAGTGGGTGTCACTATGGAGCATCAAGATGGGTTTGCATGAAAAATACCGCAGCTGAGGTTCCATGCTGGCGGGTTTGTGAAGAAGCAAAGTGATATCAAATGGTTGGTTCAAGATGATCTCGGTTGACCGGACCGGCTCAATGTGACGTTACTGAACCTTGGATTCTGCAGGTTCCAGGTAGTTGGGCACAGTATCTACTCCCTCTGTGCAAGCCCGTACATGGAGAGTACTCCGTGGTGTGGCCGATTTGCACTAACTTGGGATTCAACTCCATACTCCGTAGATTTCTCGGTGATATCGCGGAGGTACTAGACTACTACCTACGGTAACCTCCATCGACAATCCAAATATATTGAGCCCCAAAATAGGCTCAAACCAGCCGCGGGCCAGAAATAACTCTGCCCCCAAGCTTCGCACTCAATCTCCTACAGCCGACATCCGTATACGACCCGGATTCGAACGGCGGCACCAAGCGACCGTTTCATATCCGAGACTCAATGTCCAACCCTGTCGTGTGCTCCACAGTGGCCATAAACCATGGTTCGCTGGGCAAGGACCACTGCCAGATCACTGCTTCAATTGGAGAGGTCTCTTACCAGTCGCAATGTGCGTTTCCCCAAAGCGGAATCGTGCACGCCAATTGATGGATACTGTGGACAGTGGGTAGTGGACGGGGGCCAGTACGGCTTGGATTGAGTTTTATGGATCGAAACGGCCTCAACGTTCATCGGAGATCTAACGACTATGAGGTTGCTCCGTCTGGGCCAGATTTGTCTATGCCAGCCTGGAGCTGCTGCTTCTGAAAAGAACTTGGCCGGGTTCTAGCCGCACAAGCTATCCAGGTTTACTGGACTAGAAGGGTCGTAACTTCGTAACGCTCGATAGTCTCGATCAGCAAATCGAGGACGTTATACTTCAAATTTTGGATCTGGTGTGTCGGCTCCACAAGGCCCCAGAGGGCTGCACACCTACCTACCGCGCAAAGCAGGTCGGAACTGATCCATGGCCTATACGCCAGTACGACCCCCGCCGAGGCAGATGAGTGAGGCTGGCATCATATCCCTTCCAGCAATCATACAGAAGTCGAGTAAAAGGAGGACGGAGATGAGCTCGCCACGCATGGAAGAAGTGTGCACTGAGTGCACCGTGCAGGCGCTAAAGCGCGGTATTTCAAATCAGATCGGACGCCAGGAAAGAAACGACCAAGATCGGCGCCCAGCTTATTTATGCCATAATGTGACTAGATTTCTGCATAAAAAGAGTGGGTATTTGAGCATGGACGTTTTGCCGCTGCCCCGTGAATATGCACGGTGAGGATAAGAAACGGTCAGACTGAGCTTTTCTGACGATGCATGTAGGTTGGGGTCCATCAGAGGCGCTTGGAAGGATGCTGTTTTCTGACATACACAGTAAGAGCGTGACAGTTGTCCAGACTCCAGAGACGTTGAGATGGGATAACGGCAGGATCGGATCTCTGTAGGGAAGCGCCGGAGCCAACAACTCAATCCGGGACCTTTTCCTGAACCGTGGGGCCTGCTAGTAAGTAGTAGAAAGATTGTTCTTTGTCCAGCCATGCCTCTTCTTTTCAGTCTTCACCCCTTTGTTTCCCGCGCTTAAAGGATCTTGACTTTGGGAGAATCCTGCAGGTTCCTACAGTCGGGACAGCCTGGTCCGATCGAGAGTCTCGACATGACTCGCCGTCCCCAACTTTCCTCCTGGCTGGGTCCGTGCTCGGTCTAGGTCTCAATCCACAGTCACAGACTTGGGAGCCCTGCGGAGAAGTCCAGCTGTCCAAGTCACGACTCACGACCAGGATAGGACTCCTGAGCCTTCGCAATCCTAGCAAAGGCAGATTCGACTGGCCGTCAAGCTACAATCCACACGGCCCATGATCCATCGATCGGCGCTGATGCAAGCCAGCAAAACTATTGAATTCGATGGTCTAAAAAGACGTTCCGTCAACGGTGTGAGAGCCTGAGAGGGCGCATCGCTCTCCCTCCCCCGTTCGGAAGCGCAGTGGCGATTAGCCACTCGATCTCGGGTCTGAACTCGAGTCAGGCTAGATGATGGCCGAAGGATTTCCAACGGGCAACTTTAGCCCAAGATTCTTCCTGCTTGCTCTTCCGTAGTGCAGTGGGAGCTGGCGCGAGGCGAGTCTTTGGCGAACTGTCCGAGATAGTCCTAAACTAGGCCGAGGCTAAGAGTACTCGGGCAGGTGTTGCGTCGAGAGAAGTGAACAGCAGACCTTATTGCGTCCACTACAGCGTGAGCCTTACGGTGACGGTATTCTGTTGGCTATGAATCGTCCAAGCTCTGGCTCTGGCCGAAAAGTTTGCCTGCACTCATTGCTTTTTCCGTTGATGACCGATTCGCCGGGTCCCTCCAATCCACGGCTGTAAACACAGAGGTCAGTATCATAGCCGCTAATTGACAGGTAGATCTTGATCATCCGACGAGGCTAGCGTGACCGTCCAATCTAGAAAGCAGGATCGGAATCCATTAGCCATTTGATACGAACACCACATACCCCCGACATCAAAGAGGGAAGACAGGCAAAGAAGGGACCATCGGAACCTTACTCTGATGACCATGGACGTGATCTCACTGACAGGGATGCTGATGTCACTCTGGTCATCTCGATAAGCAATCTCGAGTCATAGCAGGGCAGTTCGCGGAAGATGAACCCCTCTTCTCCCCTCGATTCGACCCGATCCTGCATGAACGGGCCTCCAGTCGCTGCAAGCCTTAGGTAAACTCAAGTTGAGACAGGGTTAGGTGCAGATAGGAACGTTCGCTCATCGGCCGCATTGGAAATACATCTATGTATCGATCCAACGCCCAGGAGGAGCTGTGGTCGTAATGGGAAGGAGCCTTCCACACCCTCCGTCCCCGTGTATGGCTTTTCCTTCCGATCCTCCATTATCTCCCTCTCCCTCCCACCTTTCGCTTGTTCCAGGTGGGATCCATGGTCCACATTTAACACCCCTTGCGTTGTCTGTATCCTTGTGGTGTGAAGGGTAAAAGCGGGGAGAAGCCTTAGGAGAAGTTGACCAGCTACGGAGTAAATGCCGAGTGGTGGTGAAGCCAGCCAGCCACCACCGGAATTAGATCTGCTCGTATATGCACTCAACAATGCTGTGTTACCATCCACGGCCATCCAATGCCCGTTTACAGCTGATGATACAAAACATTGAATGTGGCGACAGTAATCGGTATACAGTTTGGAAATCAACAAATATTGTGTTCGTAGCGATACCATTAGAGTATTATATATCCTGAAACCTGGCAAATGAAAACAACAACCATGGGGTATTAGAAAATCCAGGACAGAACGCTGCAACCAATGCCGGTATCTCGCTCCCCACCTCTATTAACTCAAACCAAATCATGCTTTTGACAACCATTCCAAAAAATGCCATAGGATCAACCCGAAGAAAAGATATAGATGTACAAAGGAAATTCAACAAAGGAAAACGAGAGACAGAGGGTCGGACATAGACATGTACAGGGGACGCTGCCAGAACATCGTAGAGCAATAAAATACAGTATTAAGGTATAATGGCAAAGGGGAGTCGTGCGATCGTTCAGTTCAGGAGGTTGTCGAGACCCATCCGAGAGTCTCGTCGGGACTCCATCCTCTCCTCAGAAAGCCAGTACGGCTGTTGCTCGGGAACCCATCTGGGCTTTGGGTCCGAGAAGATTCCCGTGGATTTCCCAGGGAAGCTGGAAAAGTAAAGGTCATCTGAGGTTTGTGGCCTAGGCAGTTCTCCGTACTGGTAGCGTGTGTCCACTGGCAGAGGGAGAAGCTGCGGTGAGGGGAGAGTGCGGGGCGAAGCAGACGAGATCGAGTTGTTATCGGAGACCATGGACGGCGGGGCGTTGGAGGTATCTGAAAAGGCAGGTGAAGTCAAGGGCGCCTCGACGGGTCGATTGAGGGCAGGAAGTGTGTAGATGGGAGTAAGTTGTCGAGAAAAGGAGGAGGAAGTGCTGAAAGATTCGCGGCGAGAAGAGGCGGAAGACCTGGAGGTCCATGAGGTATAGGGTCTGTCGTAGGAGATGGAGGGAAATCGAGAGCGCAGGATCGGGCTGCCTCCGAGAGAGGCGCGGTGGTATGGAGCTTCGATGCGGCCGTTGGACGTCCTTGAGTGAGGGGAGCTGCTGATGCTGGGTGGGAGGCCTCTCTTCTTGCGGTTCATGTTGCCATTCCACCAGTTCTTGACGGCGTTGTCGCTGCGATTCCCTAGTCGCCGAGCAATCTCGGCCCAGCACCTGCCCATTTCGTTGACCATTTGTTCAATCGCAAGCCCCTCTTCAGCTGAAATGGGGTCGCGATTCAATGACGGCTTGAGGTTCTGGTGGTATCGCTCTCGGCATTGCTTTGGGGAGCGGTAGTGCATGTGTTGAGAGATGCGAACCCAGTTGTTGTTGGGACCCTGCTCGCGGACTAACTGGAGGAGTAGCTGGTCTTCTTCAGGAACCCAAGGTCCACGACGGTGTGTTGGGGCCATTGTGTCGAGTGTGTGTTTGGTTGTGTGGAGGTAGAGTGTGATGTGAGACACCGCGAAGGTTTGAGGCGGGGGTTGTCAAGGTGAAGAACGTGGCGGGCTGCGTGGTGGGGGAGTGCCGTTGATCCGAAGTGAGACTTGACCGGGTATTAAGTCAAGTCAATTGAGGTAGATGTGCTGATAGTCAAGTCGAATTGAGGTTGTTGATGTGAAGGGAAGACTCTGGAAGGGAGAGGTGTGGGAGGTAGTTATACTGAGCGGAGGGACACTAAGGTATAAGAATAAGAGCAAAAGTATGACGACCAGGAGACAGACGAGTCAGAGAGCAATGGATGCAGCTCCACCCGTCGAGCACGCTATGAGAGAAGATCTGATTCCAAGATCTTGGAGCTGACAGTTGTCGGAGGAATAATTAATGGAATAATAAAATGCCAAAAAGGGACAAAAGCCTCCTCCATACTAGAGTCGATCGATTTGGATATTATTTTAATTTATTTTTAATTTTTTAATTTAGAATACGCCTCCGTATCTGTAAGTAATCTATCGGGCCCACTCAGGAGAAGAGACACAGAGCCATCCAAGTCGGCACATACAATGGCCCCATGAAATCACGACTATGAATCCATTATTGTCATTTTCAATTACTACACACATGCATACATTAGGCCAGGTCTATGGACCAGACTGCAGGGCATCGTGATGATCGTGCAGTATCTGCTGGACCCATACCCTGTCAGCCACTTCCAAGGAAGAGCTTCATCGTGACGCTTGCAGAGGACGGTGATGCTAACTAGCCCAAGCCCATGCAGGAAAAAGAAAAGATTGCTCCTGTCTGTCGTTGAGGCGCTGGCGTTTCCAGATCGTGGGGAGATTTGCCACTTATCGCGAAGCGGTAAGATCAGAGGATCGTGTTGCATCTTGCTCTGTTTCCACTTATGTGAAACAACTGGACTAACGTGCATTGTACTCTACAGGTTAGCCTTGGGGTAATGGCGCAGGGCGTCGCTTCTCATTCCCTATCAGCTCAATCTATTTACAGTGATCGATGCACAATCAAAGTGTCTATACAAGTCGACTCGGGCACCCCGAGTAGGCGAGATGCTCGTCAATCCCATCAGTATGGGTAGGCCGATCAACGAAGGATCAGTGGAGCCAGGCTCAGGGGAAGTAAGAAGTTACTAAGAAAGCAATTGTCCAAGGTGCCGGGCACGAAGCTGCGACATACAGGATGTCATTGGGCAAAGCATAAATTAACCGCGATCAGAGCGAGCAGCTCCGAGATGGCACCCATACTCCGTACTCCGTACAGTATTGGCGATGCAGCGATCCTCGAGCTAGGCAGGGGAGATTGGCCAATGCGCTGCGGAAGACAGGCCCTGACAGAAACCGGGCGGCAGAAACGGTGTGGGTAAGCCTAAACGGGAATGTGGTCATGGAGTCCATAGGGGAGTCGGGGCTGGGGCACTGGCAGGGCCATCCTGGTGGGTATGATATATAGTGCTCGGAATAAGGATTCCGGCTGTGCTTTAGTCATGGCATCAACAATACCATATAGACTTTCTTATAGACTTTACGACGTGAACGGAGTATATAGACGGAGTTACATGTAGTAAATGAACGGAGAATTTGCGGAAGGAACTTATTCAGAGCGAGGCCTCTGAAGACTGAAGAGAATGGAAGCCAGAATGGACCGAGGCGATGCCAGACAAGTGGAGCACCCGAAAATGACAGATCTTTCGTGCATTAATGTCAAAAGCTATGGTGAGAAAAGATTTATACCTGCAAATTAATTAAGTACTCAGCTATGTTTACCTGAACCATCTAGGCGAGGATCAGGCAGTCAGCCAGCCACCATCTGGGCGGATTCTCCTTTTTCGCCAGATGCTGCCTCCGCATGGCGTTCTTGTCCTCAGATAGAAACCGTTTTGCGAAGATTAGGGTTGTACAATTTACCGTAAAGAATAATTCCTTACCCAAAATTGCTGACCGAGGTTCATTCATTACTGACGAAGTAATGAATCACGTGACATAAAAGTGGGTCTAAACTGACCAATAAGAGTGTAGCTTGGCGCTTAGGTTTTCTGCCAGCCAATTAGAT